CTTGCAATATTTTCTCCTTGACCTGGGAGCTCTGGAATTTGGCTACAATATTCCTAGGAGATTTCCTTTGGGGATCTCTTTCAGGAAGTGATTAGTGGGTTCTTTCAATTTCTATTTTACCTTCTGGTTCTAGACTATCAGTGCAGTTTTCCTTGTTAATTTCTTGAAAGATTATGTCTAAGTTCTTTTTTTGATCATGGCTTTCAGATAGTCCAATTTCAGATAGTCCAATAATTTTTAAGTTATCTGTCCTGGATCTATTTTTCAGGTCAGTTGTTTTTCCAGTGAGATATTTCACATTGTCTTCTATTTTTTCATTCTTTTGGTTTTGTTTTATAATGTCTTGATTTCTCATAAAGTCACTAGCTTCCAATTGCTCCATTCTAATTTTTAAGGAAGTATTTTCTTCAGTGAGCTTTTGGACTTCCTTTTCCATTTGGCCAATTCTTCTTTTTAAGGCATTCTTCTCCTCATTGGCTTTTTGGACCTCTTTTGCCATTTGGGTTAGGCTATTTTTTAAGGTGTTATTTTCTTCAGTATTTTTTGGGGTCTCCTTTAGCAAACTGTTGACTTGTTTTTCATGATTTTCTTGCATTACTCTCATTTCTCTTCCCAGTTTTTCCTCTACTTCTCTTACTTGCTTCTCAAACTCGTTTTTGAGCTCTTCCATGGCCTGGGATTGATTCATATTTTTCTTGGAGGCTTTGGATGTAGGAGCTTTGACTTTGTTGTCTTCTTCTGGTTGTATGTTTTAAAGATCTTCTTTGTCATCAGAGTAAGATTCTATGGCTTGACTTTTTTTGTGCAGTTTGGTCATGATGCCAGCCAATTACTTGACTTTTTAACACTTTGTTAGGGTAGGGAGGGTTAAGATGTGGAGAATGTACTGTCCCAAGCTTTGGGGGTTTTTTGCAGCTGTTTTCAGAGATACTTCTAGGGACCTCTAAATTGTTAGTTCTTCCAAGGTGCTATGATCAAGGGCGAGGTATTTACTTCTTTCCTGGTCTGTGCTTTGGTCTATGAGTGACCACAAGCACTCTTTTCTACCTTGGAACTGTGAGGAGAATTCCTCTCTACCACCACTACAAACTGCACCATGGCAGCACTCCTCACCCCAGGACTGCCACCCAGAACTGTGACTCAGATACAAACATGGGCAAAGCAAGAGAATCCTGTCTCAGCACCAGCAAAGGGATCCCTGCAATTATCCTCTGATCAGCCACTCGATTCCCCCCTCCATTTATGGGCCAAGAGTTCCAGAAGCAGCTACCGCCCCAGGATTGGGGCTGGGACCTAGCTCCTTTCTCACCAAGGTCACAGACCTTTCCTACTGACCTTCTAAGTTGTCTTTGGTGTTTGTGGATTGAGAAATCTGGAAACCACCAGAGCTGCCCATGATTCAGTCCCCTGAGGCCTGCTCCAGTTTTGCTGAGGCCTGGTCTTTGCCTGTGTTCCCATGCTGAACTGCGTTCCTCTCCCAGCCCGGCATGATAGACCTTTCCAATTAACCATCCAGGTTGTCTTGGGCTAGAAATTTGTTTCACTCTATCTTTTTGTGGGTTGTGCTGCTCTAGAATTTGTTTAGAGCCATTTTTTACAGGTATTTGGAGGGGTTTGGGGGAGAGCTCAAGCAAGTCACTGCTTTTACTCTGCCATCTTGGTTCTGCCCCCCCACAACATTTCTTATATGCCCCTTTCTCTCCTTTGACATTACTACCACTCTGGTACAGGCCCTCATCACACCTGGGCTATTGTAATAGCCTGCCAGTGGGTCTGCCTGCCCACTACTGTCTTTAACTACTCCAAACTTACTTTCATTCAACTGCCAATATGATTTAACTAAAACACCAAGTCCAACCATGTCATACACATACACACCAACTCAGTAAGCTCTAGTTGCTCTATATGATCTCCAGGACTACTTATATCAGTAATGTCAAATTGAAATAGAAACAGATCCCTGCAAGATATGTATTGACTTAAAGAACCACAAATTAACGTTATCTGTGTTGTATTTTTACTTATTTTGTTAAACATTTACCACTTACAGTAAGAGTTTTGCTAGCGAGGAGTTTGACATCTCTGTTCTAACCACATATTCTAGATCCAGTGACTCTGGTCTCCTTTCTGTTCTATAAAAAAGACATTCTGTCTCTTGGCCACTGGCATTTTCTCTGGCTGCCTCCATGTTTGGAAATGCTCTCACTTTTCATCCCTGTCTACTGGCTTCCCTTAAGTCCCATCTAAACATCTCATCTACAGAAAGCCTTTCCCTGATTCCACCTTGATTCTAATGACTTCCTCTGTTGATTATCTCCAATTTACCCTGTTTATAGGTTCATTGTACATATGTGTTTGTTTGTTGTCTCTCCCTTTGGATTGTGAGCTCTTTGAGGGCAGAAACTATCTTTTGCCTCTTTTTTATATCCCCATCACTTAGCACAGTGCCTGGCACACAGTAGAGGTTTAAAAAATATTTATTAACTGACTGATATACATCTACTAGAATGCAAAGATATGCTTCAGCTCTTTAATGGAGCCATGATATTGTTGATAGGAATACTTATTTCAACAATTCATATAGCAACTCATCAATCAGTCCCAATTCATATAGCGACTCATCAATCAGTCCCATCTGTGGGATTCTTGTTCTTGTCTTCCATGGAACATCATATACAATGAGGATACTCTAGGAGCTTTCCTAGAAGATACAGTAAAGCAAAGATGTCATTTTTCCTATTATTATCTGATATAGTTCTGGAAATGTTATCAATAGCAGTAAAACAAGAGAAAGAAATTAAAGGCATAAAAATAATTGAAGAGGAGATAAAGCTACTGATGACAAGATGGTTTATTTAGAAAGTCCAAAGCAGTCAGCAAATATATTAGTGAGAAAATTAATAATTTCAGAGAAGTTGCAGGTTACAAAATAAAACCACAAAATTCAACAGCATTTCTATATAATAATAATAATAATACCCAAGAAGCAATAATAGAAAGGGAAATCTCATTCAAAATAAATGTATAAAATATTTGGGGATCAGTCTACAAACTTACAAAATACTTGTATAGATTCAATTACAAATTGCTCCTTAAAGAAATATAGGACAACTTAAATAGCTGGTAGAATATTTAGTGCTTATGGGTAGGCCAGGCCAATATAGTAAACATATCAGTACAACCAGTTAATTTGTTTATAATGCTATACCAATCAGACTACCAAAAAGATGTTTTGTAGAACTCAATAAAATAATAATAAATTTCATTTGGAGGAACAAAAGATCCAGAATAGTAAATGTAATAGTAATGAAAAAAGGTAGGAAGGGGAAACATCACTTCCAGACCTCAGGGTATATTATAAAGTAACAACCATCAAAATCATTTGTTATAGTTTTAGAAAAAGATAAGTATATCAGTGGAACAGAGTAGAAAGAAAGAATCAGATATAGTGAAATTCAATAATCCACTGTTTGATAAACCTGAAAACATAAATTACTTAGGAAAGAATTCACTGTCTGATAAGAAATGCCAGAAAGACTGGAAATCAGTCTGACAGAAATTAGGCTTAGACCAATACCTTACACCATATTCCATAGTAAATTCAAAGTGGATATATGACTTTAATGTTAAAGATCACAGTATAAAAAATTAGAAGAGAAACAAATCATATGCTTTTCACAGCTGTGGCTAAGAAATAGATTTTTAACCAAGCAAGAGATAGTGGTGAGGCAGTTAGATAACTTCGATTTCATGAAACCAAAAAGCTTCTATGCAAAATTAATGCACTTAAGATAATAGAGGATGTGGCTGAATACAAAGAAACCTGTATCAAATTTCTCTGATAAGAGTTTAACAGCCCAGATATATAGAAGTCAACATGTATATGTTACTAAAAGCCATTCCACAATAGATAAATGGTCAAAGGATATGAACAGTTTTCAAAAAAACTTGTAAACAACTATGTGAAAATCTTCCAGATCACTACTAATAAGAGATCTGTAAATCAAAACAGCCCTGAGGTTTCAAGTCACATCCAGCAAATTGTAAAGATGACTAAAGATGGGAATAGCCAATAGTGGGTTATGGAAAGATAGGCGTTCTGGCCCCATTGTTGAAAGAGCTATCAATCTGTGTAAGCATATTGGAAAGCAATTTGGAGTTATGCAAATAAAACAACTAAAAATGTCCATATCCTTTGACTTAGAGATCCCATTATTAGGTATATACCCCAAGGAAGTCATTGAGGGAAAAAACTCATGTACCCCAGAATATTTACTGTAGCACTTTTTTTGTGATAGCAAAGACTTAGAAACAATTAACAAATTGTGTTATTTAGATGTGATGCAGTATTACTGTGCTATAAGAAATGACAAAAGTAGTGAATGTAGAGAACCATTGCAAGATCTACATGAACTGATGTAAAGTAAATTAAAAAGAGCCAAGAAAACAATATACACAATGACTAAAACATCGCAAATGAAAAGAACAACCACAAAAAATCAAAAGTGAATGTTGCAGAATTACAAAAAATAAGCATGAAGAAATATGGGAAGATAACTCTCACTCCTTTGCAGAGGTCCAAGGTCCACAAGTGTGGAAACATTGCATATATGTTCAGATTTTCTTATTGTATTGATTGGTTTTGCTGGGTTTTTATTTTATTTTCCTCTTTTTATTATAAAAAAAAGTTTTTTTTTAAATCTTTGCCATCTTTCATCTGTTTGTTGTCCTTCTAATGTCATCATTCCTAAATATCCTTGGAAAGACTTTGCTTAATTTGGTCTCTCACCTTAAACTTGTTTTACTCTTGACTACTTTTCTCTGTTCTATGAGATGAGACTGCTCGTAATATTCCATGATCCTCTCTTAAGATTTTACAAATAAATTTATATTCCAGCCCTTAATTCATAAACTTTTTGTTATAAAGCTTATTATTTTGTCATTTTAATAATTGTTTTGAAATTGCCTTTTAAGAATGCTTTTGCTTTCCTACAATCTAGATGCGTGACAATCACAAATTAAAAGTAAATGCTGTTTGTATTCCCAGTATCACATATGCAGACAGAGTACCCACAAGGTCTCTGAATGATCTAAAGTAAGTATTTGAAATTATTTCTAATTTTGAACTTTATTTACCTCTTAAATGTTTTTAAGTATCATTTACAATAAAAATACTTGGAAAATGTATTTTATAATATATACTAGTAAACCTAAAGAACTAAGAACATTCTGTTGGTGATCTTTGTATTCATTAGGAAATACGGACTTTTTTCCTATCTGCGAGAGTTGTTTGACGCACCTCAATTTGTGATGAGTTACCTTTGCTACCAGCATCACGTTCATGATGTGCCTGTAGGAACAGAAAAGACCAGAGCAATAATTGAACAGGTGAGGAGGTCATAACTAACATTGTAGTTATATTGTGGCACTTTAAAAGTTAAAATCCTTGTAGAAAATGGCAGAAGTATTGGAAATAGCCTTCAGAACAGCAAGATAAGGTGATAGCCTTGTGGTTTTGTCTTTAAGCAACCATAAATTACCTTGGCCTTTATCATTTTTAGTATATCAAAAACAAGGACTAATGGCTGAAATTGACAGCAAGAAGTAAAGGGGTTATTTGATTTACCTGAATTAAATAATAACTAGTACTTTTAGGTTAACAGATTCAATGTAAAACTTTACCTGGATAACTTCTGCTTTTATTCTTTCTTGATAAGTATCTCTAGATTATCTTGATGGTATAGTTAGAAAGCCTACATTACTGTATTGTCAAAGACTAACTTGTCTTCTAAAGAATATGTGAATTTGAAATGATAGACAGTATAAAATCATACAGGCAGTACCATCCCTTTACATGTTAATGTCCACCACCACTGTGAAAACATATCCCTAGTTGGAACAGCTATTCAGACTTCCTTCTTTCCTGCCACCAACACCCCAATTCTTAAACAGTCACCCACATGCATACACATATACCTACGCACACACGCACATGTGCACATACACACCTTCTTTGTCTCACCAGTACTTCCCCCCATCTTTTACTGATCGTAATAGTATAATAAGTAGTTCTATCTTGCCCACAGAACCACCTCTTCCAGAACCCTCACACAAATCATTACAAAATTACAAAAGAGCAACCCCTAAATTGTTATTTCCCACACTCCTTGAACAGGCATTTTGTATTATAAGCCATTTTGGTGAAGCTACAGACCCATTTTCAGATTAACATTTTTAAATTCATAAATTTTATAGGATTATAAAAGAAACCGATTATCCATTAGAAACATATTTTAAAAACCAAAATAATTTTTTCCCCATCCAAGTTCATGAATCCCCTGAAATCTATTCATGGGTTCCCTAGAAGAATCACTGCAAAGTTCTTACTTTAGTAGGCCTCACCCTTAGGAGCCCTTTTCCTCGCACATTAAGCCGTTATAAAGCCTGGCACTCACTCCTCTTTTGTTAGTAGGGCTTTTCAGTGGACAGAAGGGTAGGAAAGAAATCTTTTACTTAACTTTTAGGTGCTTTTCATTTCAGTCTTTGAAATTTATAAGGCAGATATTCCAGCATCATTATTATTATCATATTTCAAAAGAGGAAACTGAAGCTTGGGGTGGGGGGTGGTAAGTGATTTGTCCATGGTCACATGGCTTAGAAACATCAGAGTCAGGATTTAAATGTATGTTTACCTGATTCTGTACTTTACCCATTATGCCATACTAGCTTCTTACCTATTTTCTTATAAAAATAGTATAAAATCTGCAGTACTATTAATATTTCCAGATAACAGACATAAGTAAATTCTCCTTTCTTGCCTAATCATGGTGTGGAAGTAAACTATCTTCTTGAAGATTTTGCTGGTAGAGAAAATAACCAGCCGTGACTAGAAAGGCTTAGAGGCTAGGCCCGTCAATGAGCTTGGTAGCTGTGATGTGAGGACCAGCCCCATTCATTTAAACACCAAAAGTTTGGTCACTGAGTGATTGGTTTTGATTTTTATTTCTAGCCACAGTAGTTCATGAAGCCTTTCCAGTAAAACATAGGAAGGGTAATATGTTTGTCAGTGGAGCGAATACCCACACAGATGAAATCATGGATCTTTTGAATTATTAAAGTAAAGAATTTTTTTAAAGAAAAAGTAATGGTTTTACTTTGAGTGAGGAATGTGTTTTTTTCTTTTGAGCAAGAGGCAGCATATTGTAGTAGAAAGAACCCTGAGCTAGAAGTCAGGAAGTCTCAAACCTGCTGATCATCTCAGCCATTAACTGAGCAGCTTAGCCCTTTGAGACCCGTGGTTTCCATATATGTAATGTGAGGGTATGTGGAGTGATCACTAAAGTCCCTTCCAGTTCTAAAATGTTATGAATATAAGTTAGAAAATTTAGCAAAATATGGATAGAGGTCCCCAGTAGCATTTGTACTTAATTTATTAGAATTATATTAGCCAACATTTATATGGTGCCTGCTATATCCCAGGAACAATGCTGAGCACTTTGCAAGTATTGTCTCTTGATCCTTACAACAACTCTGGGAAGTAGGTACTGTTATTATCCTTATTTTACAGATGAGGAAGCTGAGGTGTAAACAGATTAAGTTACTTGCCTTACTTGCCCAAGATCACATAGTTAATAAATATGTGAGGCTGGATTTGAACTAAAGTGTTTCTGATTCTAGGCCCAGCACTTTATCCATTGTGCCATCTAGCTGCCTCAATTCCTGCAAATACCATAATTCCTGAGACTTCTTTTTGGGTTTTTTTTTTAAGACCCCAAGCCTTTAGGTTGGTTCCATCATCAGATGGAATTTTAAGCATCTGTTGTGGTTTTAAAAAAGGAGAATCCTCAGCAAGGAATCACTGTAGGTAACAGAGACTTTGAGCACCATAAACATTTATGTCTGATACCTTACTCAGCCACACTGAAGGACATGGGAAGCCAAAGGCACTTTAAGAGACTAAAGAAATCACAGAAGCTCTTTGATTATCCTATTATTTCCACTAATTCACATCAATAGAAAAAAATTTACAAAATATTATATCTAAGACCCATAAAACAGCATATATTTCTAGTTTTATACTTAAAGGATATAGGGTACTTGTTCAGTAAATGATTTGGATAAACCTGTAATTCCTAAGGTCTAGGACCACCTACACAAGGCCATATGTTCTATGTTTGGCTTTTTTTAATGGAGGGAATTAGGGTATGATTTGCTTAAGGTGACACAGTAAGTATCTGAAAGCATTGAAGGTATAAAAAAAAGGGTGTGTGTCTGTGTGTGTGTGTATAACACTCTATTTATACTTTGAAATTAAGGAAATTTCAAAGAATTTTTTGATTTGCCTTTAATTAAGTTGATGGTTAAGTATAGTTTCTAGGTCTTTTGGTCTCAAAGTTCGTTCAGTTTTTAGTACTTTTCAAAATTAGCAAAAATTTATCAATCATTTGTTCAAAGATTATAGATGTCCCATTTTAACTCTTCAGAACTCAAATGTATTCTTTGGTTCTTTGAGTCTTTAAAAAAGAGAGAGAATGGGAATAAGCATGGCCAGGTGAGTGATCATATTTTTCATTTTAGGTTATACATGAAACCAGACTGAAACAAATTTACACAGCTCAAGAAAAGTATGTGGTAAAAACTTCCATTTATTCAAATGACATTATTTCCAGTAATACACACCTGAAAACAGCTCAGTTTCTCACATTTACTGTAAATGTACAAGAAAGAAGACAATTGGAAGAGCAAGACAAGGTATCTATCCAAAGGAGGCATCACTACTTTTTCCTCTTTTATTCCCACCCTTCCACCCCCCCCCCCAAAAAAAAATACTGACCTGTATAAAACTTGAGAACTTAGTATTGATTACTCCAGGGCTTCTGCTCACTGTTGCACAAAGAGCTTCATGGAGCTCCATGATACAGAATGGGAAGTAGGCAGAAGAGGGAGGTGGAGGCTGGATAGATAGTGGTATTGCTAATATGTATAACTGACAAGCAGTTGTTTTAATAGAAAAAGGAGGAAAAAAATTAAGGAACAAGGGAGGACAAGTAACTTATCTATATCAGCCTTCTCTCTAGCCTTAAAAAGCTAGTTAGAGTTTACAAGTTGCTATTGTCTCCAAAATGGTTAACAACTGAGAGTTTTTAATTAGTTCAGGATAAAATTGACTTCTTAACTTATGAGTCCTAAGAAGCTGGCATGACAGGAACAGAGAAATTTACACTTGTCAAAAGGACCAAAGTGTCTGCCAAGCTTATGGGCATAGCTTACATTTATGAAAGAAATAAGATGTATGCAAGTTGTTTACCAATGTATCAGTAGATAGTATGGTGGGACAATACTGTAGGACTATGGAAGGATTGGGGGGTGGGGGTGGAGAGCTGAGGGGACAAGGGGTGAAGAAGAACGCCTTATTTCACCACAGTCATGTTCAGAAGCCATCAGAAAGAGAGATTTCTGAACCAAAAGCTCTTTCCTTAGCATTTCTCACCTACTGACATAAAACAGTTTTTACGTTTAATTTGAATGGGATGTTTCTGGCTCAAAGGTATTAAGATTTAGTGTACGAAGCCAGAAAATATGAACTTGAGAGTAATGATAAATAAGGGTTCTCATCTCTACAATCATGAGACAGGTTTCTCCCAAAAGGGTAATTTTATATGATTCTTTTTATATACATTTTTCCTTTAAATGGCTATTTTATGGGTTAAAGACTATATTTGGGGGTAGCTTTTATTTAAACCAATACTGGAATTGAAATGAGACTTGTTTAAAATGTATATTTACAATTTGAATCTATATCTTCCATAGGAAATAAATAAAAAAATTCAGACACTAGATGTAGAGTTAACAGCCTTTCGTGAAAAAATCAGACATCTTGAATACAGAGACAATGATTTCAGAAATAAAAAGAAGGACCTTCAAGACAGGAAAACCAAAAAGAATCAACTGGAACAGAAAATTGGTTCCAAATTAGATAGGTATTATATTTTCACCCTAAACTATTATTGTTACTTTTGTTTTTTTTTCTTCTCCGTTTAATAACAGTACTAATGACTCAAATCTATATCGTGCTTTAAAGTTAACAAAGCACAACAGTTATATGAAACATAATACAAAATATTATCCCCATTTTTCAGATGAGAAAATGGTCTCAGAAATTGTGATGTGCCATGGGTTGCTCAGCTAACAAGTGGTGGAGGCAGGATTTGAACCCAGGTTTCCTGGCTCTAAGTCACTATAATCACACTATAATAAGTGACAGATTTTTGTGCAAGTACAGTTTTTACTCTACATATGAATTCCTAAAGAATTACATAAGTTCAGTCATGTTAAATTGATTTGAACTCAGTCTATGAAAGAATTCTATTTTTAATTCTTTTGTTAAGGGAACATGTTGCCCTCTTGCCTGCAGCTAATATCAACTCTTCCTGGTTTCTGAGACTTTCCGTATTCTAACTCCACCCTACTAACCTTTGCAACATGTTCCCATCAAGTGAATGTTCTCCCTGCTTTCTGCATCTTTCATTTTTGTTTTGTTTTGTTTTTTCTCACCTCTTGAACCTTTAGAATCATGGACTGTGAGATCTAAAAGGACTTTAAAGTCATCTAGCCCAACTCTCTCATTTTATGAGAGAAACTGAGGCCCCTTTCAGGTTAAGTGGCCAGCCAACTGCAAGGCTGGATGGCCATTGAGTGGCAGAGCCAGGACTTGAGTGTCAGGATGGAAGTCTTTTCCCAGTATTTCAGGACACCCTTATCAGGGTATCATTTTATTTCTTGTACAGTTTAAAGCTAATGGAACATCGTACTTACAATCTTGAAGAAGAGGAACGGAAGACAAATGCCAAAGTCAAAGAAATTAATGCCCAAAAAGCAAAGCTAGTTTCTGAATTATTGAAACTAATTAAGGTAAGGTTTTGAAACTTGTAGTAGGTATGTCAAGAAAAGATATCAAAACCTATTAAAAAGCATGATTTTGCCATTCTGAAATAAGTTTTACTTTTTATTTTAAAATTTTTACATACTAAAAAGCACATTTTATTAGTGAACATAAATTACTGCCCTTCTGCCATTATAAGTCAAGTTAAACAAATAGAGTGCCCTATTAAAGCTTGCAATTGAACCAAGCTTTTTTACTATTACTTAACATGAAATATACATAGTATTGTAATATGTATGACAATAATCACATTTAACATATTTGTTCTGCAGGAAACTTGTAAATAGAATTGACAAATAATTTAAGAGAGGACAATCAATTAAATTGTTGGGGTTTTTTTAATTGTACTTTGGTATTTGGTTTGCTATTTTCTTGAATCTAAGATGTAGAATGTGAGAGAGCTTATAAAATCTAAACAAGCTTTTATGTGTTTTGTTACCAGAGTTGCACAATGTTGAATGTCCGAAAAGTAGATTTAGTTCTTGAGCTAGCTACTAAAGGCTATGAGAAGAACAAATTAGAAAGAGAATATAAAACTACAGCATTAAACCTGCGGCAACTGGAGGTAAGATTTTACAATTTGCTGATTTTGAATAAGAAATTTTGTTAATTATAAAAACCTGTTCCTCTGTGCAATTTCATATTTAGATCATAGTTTTTTAGTTCTAGAAGGGACCTAAGGAGTCATTTTATTCAGCCCCTTCACCTTACATCTGAGGGTGTCCAGAAATATTCAGTGACCTTGCCTGGGATTACATAGATAGTAATTAGCTAAGCTAGGATTTGAATCCCTGTCCTTTGAATCCATATTTGCCATAAACCTTATTATCTTTGTGAAACTTATTGATGAAAAAACTGTATTATATTCAAAACATGGGTTTGGTTTTGTTTGTTTTTTGGAATTGTCATTTTTTTAAAAGAGAAGTTAGGTTGCCTAATTTGGTTATTTAGTACCATTGCCTGGTTTTTTTCTCTGATAGTTTCTGGGCATTGGGATCTTTATAATTAGTAAATAATAGCTGTTGGCTTTGATTGCTATTTTTGAGTAAAATAGGATGTTACTGTCTATTTTAATACCGATATCTGAACATTTTCATTAAGTCAAGAAAGTCTTTAGTGTATTGAAACATTGGTCTAATCTTTTAAAAAATTTATCTTAAGATATTTTTATATTCTTTAAAATAATATTTTAAATAATGACACAAAAATTGAGGACAGATGTGCCATCCTCACTTAAGTTAAAATCCAACATAATTCTGAGGTAATCATGAAGGTATCTTCAAATAATAAAAGAATCAAAACCAGGATTGTATTATATATTTTTGTTAACATTTTCCCTATTGTGTTATAACATATTTAATTCAGAATCTCAGACCAACAATATACTGGTTCAGTAGAGGCAGATAGAGGAAGTGCTGGCCTTAGGGTCAGGAAGACAAGGATGCCATGTCAGGGGTCTACATACAAGTCACTTTCCTGCACCCAGACTCTGTTTCCTTCTCTATAAAATGGAGATAATAATACCTATAGTATCAAGCTCATGAAGTGATCTGTGTAAAACACTTTGCAAACCTTAAAGGACTGTGTAAGTACCTATAATTATTAGACTATGGAACAGATAGTTACAAAGTCTAGAGTCTCTTGACATTGCTGTTGATTCTGGAACAAAAGGAATATGTTCATTTCTTGAGGCTTTATTCGTTGCCTTCTTATTAAGTATCTTTGTAAAGATTATAGTGGAAAGAGAACACTGGATTTAAGAGTCACAGAATCTGGGTTAAGTACCTGCTCTGCCAACTTATTAATCACATGACCTCGGGCAAGTCATATAACCTCTCTGATTTCTAATGATGTCAGTGTGCCATGCTGAGGGCACATCAGCCATAAGACAACTATTTGTTGTTAGCTTATCTTCACTGACCAGAAGAAGCAAATGAGGGAGTATGTGTAGAGTACTTCTTTCCCCAGTTTCTGCTTCCTGTATGTCTTCCTCATGCTTGCCATCCATTATTCATTTCCACATGCTTTTATTTATTTGTTATCCCCTCTTTGGCAGAACCAAGGGAAAATTACCTTAGTAGATTGAAAATCAATAAACTATTTCCCTATATAATACTGATTTTTAAAATTATGCTTACTGTCACAGTATTTGCAAGTTTTCAAGTGATGACCTAGTTTTCATATTCTGAAATCCATTTGTCTTGTGCTGTAAATATGTCCGTAATCTGATTTGAAATGGGAGAGACATTTGTTATAGTTGTGGTTACACATGACAGAAGAAAGAAAATGTAGAACAGCACTGATTAAAAAGAAAATAATAGATAATGTGTCAAAAGTTCAAGCTATTTAGAATTGCCTAATTCCTTTCATATGAAATCTTTTACTACATTTTTCACTACATTTTTGACTCTTGTATTTCAGTGTTATTAAGTAATATATTTTGATATATCTGCAATATCATTAGAGTAGGCATTCTTTAAACTTAATTGTAACCAATTCATGCCTCCTTACTTAAGCTTTTATTTTTGACCATGTTCTTCTATAAATCCTCCAAGGAGATTCTTATCCAATATAATGAATATATATGCATGTACATAGATTTGGGTTTAATATAGAGAACAACTTTTCCATGGGTGACCTCTAGTGGAAAATAGTAAAATTGTTCTTCTGAGAATTTGTTCTTATATAAATATACATGTGTGTGCACGTACATGTGTGTATCGATTATAATAATTCTAATATTTATAATATATTCTAATATGTAATATGAATTTGTATGTGCATGTAATACATATTCATGTGTGTATTCCTCTGAAAAACTATTCTAATACTTTCCACTAGAGGTCGCCCATAGAGAAGCTGTCCCCTATTTTAAAGCCAGAGAATTTGTTCTCAAAAAATGTTTATATATAACATATACTATTACATATGTTATATGCCTATAATATATGTGTATGTTTTATATATGATGTGTATGCAAGAAGGGTTAGGTAGTTCAGTGGATAGAGTGCTGGGCTTAGGATCAGGAAGACCTGAGTTCAAATCCAGCCTCAGAAACTTCCTAGCTACATGACCTTGAGCAAGTCACTTAACCTACTTGCCACTGGAGAAGGAAAGAAATGGCAAGCTACTCCAGTATCTTTGCCAAGAAAACTCCATGGACCAAGGTCCATGAGGTCACAAAGAGACCAGCACAACTGAAGTAACTGAACAAGAAGAAGTATGTATATGTGTGTATATAGTTATTTGGAGAACAAATTTTCTGAAGGTCTAGTCTGATATCTTCCACTAGAGGTCACCCACAGAAAAACTGTTCCCCATTTTAAACCCAGATCTTCCTACCTGTAAATCAAACTTTTTCAAAAAATAATCCCAGCAAATGCAAGAGTTTTCCTTATAATTAATAGTGTGACTTGAAGTTTTTTCTATAGTTTTGTTATACTGTACTCTTTGTTATAAAAGAAAAAAAAATAAGAAATTATAATCAATGTTCCCTTATGTGAAATAATCCCATATTTGTCATTGTACAGGACTTATGAGTAGGACTAAATTGACCTTCATGTCTTGAGCCCTAAATAAGCAATCCCAAGGATTTATCTGCCCTTGAAGTCTCTTGTCCTTAATATTTTAGTACTCCACTGAAAACCTGTCGTAGAGAACCAAGGAAAGAAAAGATAGCTAAACTGTCTCTGTCCATGATCTCCACTTTTTAATGGTGCATGATCCCTGAAGGGACAGTATTGCGTGGAGTATGCAGTTTCAGCAAGGCTGATAACAGTGCTGGTGAATTTATTCAGACTGCCCTGCTGCATCAACACCATCTAGGGTAGTAGGTTATGAGAACTAAGTAGTTACAACCCAGATTTAAGGAATTGGCTCAGGGCGCAAGAAACCTTAGTCTTATATGAGTGTTTTTCATCTGGGTGTTTCTTCCTATACCAGTAACAGTTGTTATCATGTTATGTATGTCAACTAAGGCAGTTGTGTTCTGTTGTCAGATTTCACCCCATTACATTCCCATTGAGGGGGATGGGGAAATCATGTGTATACCTATGGCTCTAGGTTGAAGATTAGTGCTGCTTTTCCTTTTATAGCATGTTTACATTATGTATTTGAATCTTTCTTATTTAGATGTACATAGGTAAGTTTACCCTTGATTCTCAGAATGAAATTTTAATTTCCTTGTCACTAAGTTAATCATAATTTTCAATACTTGTGCATTTGATTTACTCATGATTGTTAAGTAAAGTACATAGATAAATTTGCTGTGGTGATTTAAAGAAATAAATCTTTATTTACAGTAACTATAATCTAAAACCTTAAAAACTCTTCTCATTTTATTATAATAGCAACAATACAATGCTTTTGGTGAAACAAAAAATAGACTTCTAGAGAAGTGCAAGGAACTTATGAAGAAAGCTAGGCACATATGTAACCTTGGCCCAGATCAGAATATTCCTCAGGAGTACCAGACAGTAAGTATGAGATACATAATGATGTAGATGTTATCATTTTTACTTTTGTTAGCATTTAACTCTTCTGCATTCTTCTGCCCCATACTACTTAGAGAAAATGTGGTATAAAGGGAAGAGCATTGGATTAAAAGTCAGATGACTTAAGTTCTAGTCTAGCCTTTCAATGAGCTCTTTGATATTATACATGTCACTGAATTTCTCTGTGCCAATTTTCTTATCTCTATAATGGGTATAACAATACTTGTACAAATTACTTGTGAGGAAACTGCTTTTTAAACTGTTAAGTGTCATAGAAAGATATGTTACTACCATTACTGATCATTTCAGAAAGGGATTATTTTTGTAGTTATAGTACCAAATTTCTCAAATCTTGGGCTGGTAATCGCCAAGAAATCGTTCTGCTCTGAGCACTTATATTGGTCCTTTATTCTTACCCTATTTCTACCTTTAAAAATATATGAGGGGCAGCTAGGTGGTGCAGTGGATAAAGCACCGGCCCTGAAGTCAGGAGGACCGGAGTTCAAATCCGGCCTCAGACCAAACACTTGACCCTTACTAGCTGTGTGACCCTGGACAAGTCACTTAACCCCAATTACCCTAAAAAAAAAAAGAAAAGAAAAATATATAGGAGCAGGAGTTAGATGGGAAGGACTGCAATGGGAAGATCAGAGAAGTACTAACCAGGAATAACATTTAGTAGAACAGAAGAAAAGAGAGAGTGAAAAAGGCTTCCCTAGGGGTTGGGGTATCAGTTGAGTGGAAGATTATCAAAGGGCCCAAATATGTTAGTAAGAAAAAAAGAAAAGCTTTCATGCTCTCCATTAAATGTTAAATTCTGCAAATCACTGATGTACTAGATTACAGGAAAGACTTGGTTTAGTCCAGTTTCTCCTACTGATTAGATAGCTCTGTGACTGGAAATTTTCCATGTACTTTTTTGCTTCACCTTCCCTGGAAGAGGGAAAGAGACCCTGATAAAGTGAAAAAAAAAAAAAATATCGGATTTAGAGTTGAAGGATCTGGGTTCAAACTCTGACTTGTTCCTTATTGCAGGCATATTCTTAGACAAATCACTCGATCTTATTGGGCTTCTGGTTCTTTAGCTGTAAAATAAGGGAATTTAAGTCTCTTCTAGCTTTAAATCTACTGTCCTAGAAACTGGGCCTCAGGATGCCTTATGTGCTAGCCATTTCTTCACTTCAAATTAGCCATATGACCTTTGGCAAGTAACTGAAGGTCTTTGAGCCTAGTTTCTCTGGGAGACAGTTTAGTGTCACATTGGAAAGGGCACTGGATATGGAGGATTAGATTCAAATCCTAGCTCTGTATGATATTGGTAAGTCATTTAGCCTCACTGGTCCTCAGTTTCCTTACCCATAAAGTGAAGGATTTGGTCAGGATGGCCTCTGAAGTCTACTCCAGTTCTAAATCTGTGATTACTCTGTGTGAGATGAAGAAGTTGAGCTAGATGGTCTCTAAGGCTTTCCTTCCAGCTCTGACATTCCAGTACTTCACCGGGATCAAATAAATGGGTGGCAAGTTCTTTGAAAAATAACAGTTAGTATTTATATGGGATTTTCATTTTTTTCATATTTTGATATTTTGACATATCTATAATTTAATCAGTGTAAGTATTCTTTCCTTGAGATTCACCCACAGTTCGAAGTCCCTTCTCATTGTTTTTGCTTCTTGTCCATTTTTTCTCATAATTTATTGCTAGTTATTTAAAATGTTAACTGCTTCACACAGATAATTAAAGGGCAAATGAAGTGCAGACAACTGAGACATGCCTGTAGTTGAGATTAAACTTATCCTCTCCATAAATATGATACAATAATATTACTCACAAAGTAGATAGAGAATTAATTTAATCATTATGGAATTTAATCTAGATTTATACTAAGTTACCTCAATACTTAGAAATATACTGGTGTTTCATGTTATACAATAATGTGAACTTTTTAATAAGCCCCTACTAAAATCAACCCCCTACCCCTAACTGTTTTCTACCTTAAAAAAGCAATGTGATCTTGCCCAAGAGAGTCATATTACTCTCCGAGAAATATAAAATGGAGGAAGTACAGTATGGGATTTTCTTCTACCCCTACCTGCACTATACCAAATTTCAAAAGGAAGAGAAGTCAACTTGCTTTCTAGAGAGTGAAAATGAGAAGAGATGGGCCTTAATGGAGTAAATAGTAGGGAATGGGTAGTTAGGATCATAAAATTATACCAAATTTCAGCTTGAAGGTAACTTTCAGGTATGGTTGTACTAAAAGACTTCTGAACTAGAGTTCCTTCAAAGGGGTCATTGAGTGTCTGTCTACTTGAAGACTTCCAGGGTTAGGGGATGCATGACTTCATTAGACAGATTTCCCTTAAGTAGAGCTTCACCCCTTGCTCCTAGTTCTGCCCCCTGGATCTTTGTCATCCTATATTTTTTTTTCTGTCTAGGTAATGGGGTTAAGTGACTTGCCCAGGGTTACACAGCTAAAGTGTTATGTTTCTGAGGCCGGATTTGAAGTCAGGTCCCCCTGATTCCAGGGCCGGTGCTCTATCCACTGCACCACCTAGCTGCCCCATCTTGTATTTTTTCAGCTGACTTCTTTGAGCCTAAGTTTATTTTTATCTCTATTAAACGCTTCTTTAGTATATGTAGCCATCAAAATCCTTTTTGAGCCAGTCATCCGACATGTTAGTTTTCCTTCTCAGATTTGTGTTGTATGCAGATTTCAGAAACAGGTCAACAATTACTTTATCCAAGTTATGGATATGAATGTAGAACAATGCAGCCAAAGGCAGATCCTTGAGGCACTCCTCTGAAGTCCTTTCAGAGTTAAAAGGGCCTTTAGAGTTCTAGTACAGTTCCTTCGTTTTGTGTACTGAATGCCCTGAAAGATTCAGTGACTCACCTAAGAGAGAAAATAAAAATGAGAGCCAAGATTCAAATTCAAGTGGTTTGACTCTGTATCCTTCCATTACACAGTATTAAAAGAGTGGAGTGAAATTATAGTGGGTTTTAGAAAGCGGACTAAGGAGTTTTTATTTCATCTTGTAGATTATTCAGTTTTAAAATGCTGCTAAGTCCTTCCCCCTTTTCACCTACCCAGATGTAAATGCTAAGCACTTAGAATGTGCCAGGTGCTGTACTAAGTAGTGAAGATACAAGCCAAAAGAAAGATAGGCCTGTCCTCAAAGAGCTTACATTCCAGTGGAGAAGATAACACATAAAAGGCAACTGAAAAAGGGGGGGAGGGGAGGCAGAAATGGAGAAAGAAGGAGGCTTTAATGGAGAAGTCCAGAGGAGTGTGGCCTTAGAGGAAAAAGAGATAGCTCTCTTGGTCTCCTGCCTTAAATGGAGCCCTTTACATACCAACCAGAAGGGACTGCAGGGTCAGAGGGTACTTTCAGAAGTCTGAGTTGCAGGATTGAAGTGATCTTCCAGGATGAAGAATAATGGAAAAGTCCAGTGGAATACAGACTAGTGGGAAATGAAAAGTTAAAAATTTTCTGACCACTGTAGTCTACCTGATTTCTTATTCTATATTTTAAATCTAAATATCACTGTTTATGCTATTCATTTTTATACTTTATGTCAAATTACACGGTATTCCTTACATTAATGGTATTGTCTGTGAGGCTTATTTTTTCAAGAAAATTGTAAGCTTTTTGAAAGTGGGACTTGTGTAATTCTTTTATATCCCTCCATGGTGCCAACCCAAGTAAATACTAATTGAATTATGTTGTTTCTTAGTATTCTTACTATCTAGTTCTAATGGACAGAGTTTTTTTTTTCCTTTAGGCTTTCCAAGATCTCCCAAACACAGTGGAAGAAATTGATTCTTTACTCTCAGAAGAGAAGACGAGAGCTTCTTGCTTCACAGGCCTGAATGCTTCAGTACGCTTTCCCACCTCCAGTCTCCTTAGTACTTGCCTCCTACTCTGTACTAGAGTTCTTGGTAATAATAAGCTAGACAGCAGGAACAATGTGCTGTAAATGCCAGATTCTGAATCTATTAGAATTTTAAATAGATTCTTCCTAAGGAACAGGGTGTTCTTGCCTTTTCTTTATAAAAAAGAATAGTTGGGCTAACCTATAATACTTCAATGTCTAACATTTTTCAAAAGATAGAAATGTCATATTTTCAGTACATAAGGAGTGCATAAGTTAATTACATGCAAACAAAACAACAAAGCAATACAGTTGGCATTTTTAAGTTAAGACTCTAATTGATGCACATTTTAATGTTTGTTATTTTATCTTCTGAAAGATTTGTCCTAAAGTAAAGTGCTTTTTGCTGCCAGGTTGTTGAAGACTACAAAAAAAGAACACAAGAAATACAACAGTTAACTGAGGAACTAGCGCAAAAGACAAACGAATTGGATAACTATAGACAGACCATTTCAAAGGTGATATTTTAAATTCTGTTTTTTGCCACTTGATACTCACTAATGATAATGTGAGGAGAGGCAAGGATATAAAAGGGGATAGTTTCTTTAAAGGAAAACAATTTTTAGGGAAAATGCAATATTCAAAGTTTATTCAGTGTGTAATAAAGACTAATTTGATGTTATGTTGTAATTTTTTTTTTGTAATATAATAGTTTTTCCAATTTTTATGGTACTGTATACTTGTCTCTTTATGTTTAGGTTAAAGAAAGGTGGCTCAATCCCTTGAAACAACTGGTAGAACAAATAAATGAAAAATTTAGCAGTTTTTTTAGTTCCATGGGGTGTGCTGGTGAAGTGGATCTCCATACAGAAAATGAGGTATAAGTGTCTTTCCTGAACAAACTCTAAGGACTACAAAAGAATTAAAAAACATAATTATAATTTACTTTTCTCCTATAGAAATATCTTATAAGTTTATTTAGTTTGAGACCTTAGAATCCTTCTGTTAAAAATCATTGATCACTCAAAAAAATTTTGAAGGAAAGAAAAATATCTGTTCAGTCAGGCTGTTTCTTTGGTGACTTTTAAAGATTAGTGAATTAATAATCTCATTATTGACCCTCTGTTACAGTCTAATAAAAGTGATTAATGGTAAATAAGAAATGATGGGTATTCTTTCTGAACACTTGAATACTTTCTGAATATTTCCAACTTGGTGAACTTGGTGAAAAAACTTCCTTTTTTTTCCTTCTGATTTATAATTTAACTATAACTATAAATTCATTAGTGTGAAAATTTCTGAAAAGGAATAATATTGTAATAGCTGGAGGCTCATAAATTTTAATATTGAATATTAAGTAGAATAAATACATAAGGAGTAAAGCAGAATGTTAATACAGTAAAATACTGAGGGAAAGGAAATTTTTTTAATATGTAAGTATTGCTTAACAATTTGGAATGAAAGTACAACCATTAATGATAAAGTTTATCAGAATTTTACCTCCCCAGGAAAGCTTTCTCTTTCTTGATATTGACTGACTCCTAGAGTCCTTTTCTTCTTCACCTGTGTTATGAAAATTGTTGATAGCCAACTTAGGCAAAGCCATTTCCTGGAATTTAATTAAATATGCCATATTTATGAGTTATAGTGAACTGATGCACCTTTCTCCAGTAAGGTTCAATTGTATTGTGCCTGATGGGAACTAAGGCTATTACTCTAAGACTGTCTCTTTTAGCTTAACTATTCGATATTATTATTATCATTCGATGATGTCCTAAGGTCATTTGTAAAATTTTAGATTGGTTGATTTGCTTATTGGGTGATGGTACAGGTTTAATTTCAGAAGATAGTTTTTCTCATCTAGTTGCCTATGAGTCATGAATGATTAAAAAAAATCTATGAAGCACTTCACTGTGTGAAAAGCCATGTGCTAAGTGCTGGGAATACAAATTGAAAAGCAATCCAGTCCTTGCCTCAAGGAATTCACATTCCCATGAGAGAGGGCAGGTTTAGGAGGTTTCAGGTGGATGTCAGATGGAAAGACCCAATGGCATTTAGGGTACAGAGGCAAAATGAATGGTAATGTTATGGTGACAAAACCATCTGTATCAACCCTTTTGATGATGCCAAGGAATTTGAAGGTAAGAACTTTCTGGTCTCCTGAAGCTGAGACTGCCTTGGAGGTAGTTGCTACAGCACCTGCAAAGGCACTTGAACAGTGGCCACAGGGACTGGGCTGGACATAGGGCAAGTGATATAGGGGGTAGTCAGAGAATGGCAATTAATCAATAGTTGACGATGAAGGTGGTAGGCATGGTTGCCCCTCAACAAGGAATATTCCTCTTGATGATGGCTGTGGGGGTTGGGTGGGTAGTCTGGGAAATGATGCTGTTCCTGGGGTTCTTGGACATAAGGACCTGAGCTATCTCCATTGAAGTTTGAGTGGTAGCATTTGTTTGATTCACCTGGCACATACTGCTACCTGTCTTTCAGGGCACCTACTGTACTAACCCATGCAGAAACATTCTAACTATGCAGTAGAGCTCAGTCATGCATTTTAACAATTTCATTTCAGATAGACAGTAGTTTCACTAAAATTTGTGTCACTTTATCTTATAATTGATATTTTTATTTTGAGAACTTATTTTACCCCATTGTCAAAGTACTGTATGAGATACTAGAGAAAAAAGGCTTAATGTTTTTTTCATAAAACTTATCTGATTTACAGGAAGACTATGATAAATATGGAATTAGAATTCGAGTCAAATTTCGCAGTAGCACACAACTGCATGAACTAACTTCAAGTCATCAAAGTGGAGGTGAAATAAGTGTTTCCACAATGTTATACTTGATGGCACTCCAGGAACTTAACAGATGTCCGTTTAGAGTGGTAGATGAAATCAATCAGGTATGAGTATAACTTTGTGAAATTAGGTTTTATTCATTTTCTAGTCAATATTAATTTAATTTTTATTATTATCATCAAGGGAATGGACCCAGCCAATGAAAGAAGAGTATTTGAGATGGTTGTAAACACTGCCTGTAAAGAAACCACATCTCAGTATTTCTTAATTACGCCAAAGGTAGGTAATCTATGACCTGAAAGCAGTAACATACTTAAAAGTACCCAAATGATTTCCATGTAGTAGCTTGATTACTTAAGAGGATATTGCCCAGTGATAAAAATAGTTAGGTACTTTCTAATAGTAGCAATGGCAAAGGAAGAACTGAAAGGATTAAAATAATGCTTCTTTTATTGACAAGGATCCATAGACTCATAGCTCTAAAGCTGGGAGAAAACTAGGGCCCAGGGAGGTTAAGTCATTTGCCTGAGGTCCTTCCAGATAGTCAGCATCTGGCAGGTTTTGAAGCAAGTTCCTCTTTACTCCAGAGCCAGTGGAGCCATAGCCATATGTATGTGATAAGGATTTGTAAGACCCAGGATGGTGGTTCTCTTTTTACTTAGCCTAAAAAAAACCTGTACCTGAAATAGTGTGGTCACCTTCTTCACAGTGACCTAACTTCCACTTGTCAAAAGAAGGCTTGTTCTTAAAGATTTTGATCTTTATCACTGTTTGTTCCACTACTATATTTAGTGCTGTGACTAAATCCTAAAACTAACATTCAGACAAGTAAAGAGATTAGGAGAAATCCGCCAAAACTCTGGCTTCATTCTATACTTAGCTGTTCATAATCACTTTTCCCCTTTGACTTTAACTTTTCACTTCCTACTAAGCCCTAACCCTGGGTGACACCCTCTTATTCCATCTTCAAAGTAAGGGTATCCTCAACTATCATACCTACTTTGGTGTTCCTTTGAGGATCAAATGAAATAACATATAAAGCAATTTGCAAACTTGAAGTCCTGCATAAATGCCAGCTATTACTATTTTCCACTATTACTTCTTAACCAGTTGGTCCACTTAGAAATTCATGCTCTAATCTGATTTGAGTCCTGACTGCTACAGGCACAACCCTTTTACTCATCTCTTAATGACTATGCAGGGGTGGGGAACCTGCCGCCTCGAGGCCACTTGGGGCCCCTAGGTCCTCAAGGGACGGCCCTTTGACTGAATCCAAACTTAACAAAACAAACCCCCTTAATAAAAGGATTTATTCTGTAAAACTTGGACTCCAGTCAAAAAGGCACACCCAAGGACCTAGAAGGACCCGTGTGGCCTTGAAGCGGCAAGTTCTCGCCCTTACGCTACCCATTTCACTCTTTACTATGTCCATTTCCAGCCGTTTCTCAAGGCTCCAACCCTAACCCCACACCTCTCAGGAGATAACTTCATCTCCTTTACAGATTGTATTGAGGCCACCCCTTCTCCCTTCCACCATACTTCAAAATCTCTTTATGTCATCATTTGTGCTCTCCTCCTTTGCTCCAGTGTCAGAGAATGGTCATCTACCTTTCCAAAGTGAATTATACCATTTATACCCTTGATCTGACACTTCATGTTTCTTTTTTTTCCAAGTTTAAGAAAGGTATATACATAATTTTAAAAATCCAAATACATATTAAACTTTGTATCAGTGCACATTTATTTTTAAACAGAAAAGATCCAGAAAGTTAGGTTTGTTATTTTTATAACTTGAGGAGGAGAGGGGCTGTGATGGAATAGTTTGGCTTTACTCTATAGACAGATAGCTGGACACCTACTTATATGTACTCACAATGCTAGAGCAGCACTAAATGCTTTGTGTAACACTGTTATACACAGTTAAGTAAAAGCACTCAGTTTGGTTTGATGGACACATTGTTTAAGTCAACATTTTTGTAATGAAGATCCCCTTAGTAGATATCAGTAGTTCGATTTCATGAAATATATGTTTAGATTGGAAAAAGAAGTACACATGCTCTCCTTCAGTTTTGCCAACTACTGCAAGAAACTACTAAATCTAGATGTTCTCACATCATTACATCTGTGGATCAAGTACTGTGTAAAAATGAATGTAAAATCTGAATCCTCCTCTACTCCCCAGAATACCCAACTGGTACATTTCAAATAAAAGTTGTTGCACCTCATCCAGTTAGAATAGTGGACAAGTCTTGTTCTCTTAGGAGGCCTGCCAAACCAAACAACTTTTCAACAGAATATGCTCTTCACTAGGAAGATACTCTGAAGGGCAAAATGAGCTTCAGTGTTATGATACACACACTTCAAACTGGATACTAGGCTGTGAAAGTTTACCACTGTCTTCTGTCTTTTTCTGCCCAGGTCCATGGCAAGTTGTCTTGCACTTAAACAATCACAAACTTAACCGCAATAACTCATTGTCTACCACTGGAGTGTTAGACGTGTATGTCTGCTTCAAAGTGCCCTTTGGACACTTCATGTTTCTTGGGACCTTGTTCCATCAATTCTCTCCCCACCCCCTTATCTTAAATTTTCTCCTCTCTGCTTACTCCTTTTCCTGCCTACAAACATACTTAGTTTTTCCTCATATGGAAGATAAAAAGGGAAGAAGGGAAATAGCTCTGCATATAATTCCCACAGTTGAAAAAACTTTCCCTCAATCCTGCTATCCCCTCAAATTATTGTCTAATATTTAAGTGTTTCAATTCTCTTCCTTGACATGTCTATACCATTTGACCTTTTTCTTTTGGAGGCAGCATGATATAATACAAAGGGAATTGGATTTAGAATAGGATGCCTGAGGTTGAATCCCAGTTCTCTCAATTTATAAACTATTCCTTGGGCAGATCACTTAATCTCTCTCTGTTTCAGTTTCCTCACCTGTAAAATATATTGCTTGGACTAACCACTCACTCATAGGATTGTTGTGAGGAAAGGGGATTGCAAGCCTTTAAGTACCATTTGAGTTATTGTAATTTATTTTTCTCTTTTGCTGCACACCGCACATTTCTCTGTTGGTTCTCAAACTGTGTAGTCATTCCTTAATCTAAAAATGTTCCCTAAGTTTCTGACGTTGGCCCTCTACTTTCTGTGCTCTGTTCCTCAATAGTCTCATCTTCCATTACCATGGGCTTCAACTATCATCTTTGCATATAATTCCCAGGTCTTTGTATCTTTCCTGGATTCTAGTCTTATCTCCAGCTGCCTTCTGGATCTCCATATTGTGACCTGGATATCCTGACAGCACCACAAACTCAGCATGCCCTTGAGAATTGTTCCCCATTCTCTTCTTTATTCCAGTCTCTTAAGGAGGTGGTCCTTTTCCACAAGGCCATCCCCTCTTGTTCTATGGAACTTTAATCCCATTTTCTCCTTTCTTCCCCAGCAGATTACCCCTATAATCATCCTCCATAATCTTCCATCTTTCCCTATTTTTTTCTTTCCTCAGTGCCTAAAAACATGCCCAAGTCTGTTCCTAGCCATAATAGCCTATCACTCCTTCCTCTTTCAGGTAAACTTCTAGATAAAGCCATTTGCAATCATTGCCTCTACCTCCTCTCTTCTTACCCTATTGCAGTCTGGCTTCCAGCCTTATCACTCAACTGAAACTGCTCTGTCCAAAGTTACTAGTTATGATCATTAGCTTTTATATTTTAAAGAACATCACTAGAACCAAAAATGGCCTTTTATTCTTTGATAAAGGATTGCTCTCAGGGGGCAGGAGAGAAATACATTAGAAAATGTAAACAGTGTAAAAACAAAAGACATCAATAAAAAATTATTTTCAAAAATGCTTTTTGAAAAGGGAATCCCATACCTGGACAAGATTTCTATCCGCAAGTATTCATCCAGTCTTTGCTTGAAGACTTCCAGTGTGTCATTACGCATCTGGACAACTGTAATTGTCAGGAAGAGTTGACACAATCAAGCACAGGAGGAATTAGATGAAGAGGAAAAAAAAATTAATCTTTCATATGGCAAAATACTTCCATCTAGGAAATGGGAGGATGAGAAGCAGAGTGGGAATTAGGAAGCCTAAGTCTTCAAGTGGCCCTCGGACACAGTTCCCTCCCTGTGCTTCAGTTTCTTCCTCTGTAAAGCAGACATAATTTCATCCTTTCCCTATCTAGAAGTTGTTTATATGAAATAAATAAAACAATGTATTATGTTATAAGCTCTTGAAAGGCAAGGATGGAGTAATTTTCAATGTTGATAGCCTTAGTATCTAATAGGGAGAGAGAATGTGTTTATTAAGCACTTACTATGTGCCAGCACTAGGAATAAAAGTACACGTAAGCAAGCTACTTCCTGTCCTTGAGGAAATTAACATTTTTTATTTACATTTTATTTTATTTACGTTTACATTTATTTAAATTTATTGATGTGCTTTGTTTTTATATTAAAGACATGTATAGATTACTCCCACTTCATAAGAAAATTCATAACAAAGTAAAACACTTGAGTAAAACTAATAATACAGTAGCCTCATCTGAAAATACCTGCAACATTTCACATCTGTGGCATCCTACCACCTATTTTTTTTTTTAATGAACAGAGATAAGTTTTTCTTTTCCACCCCCCAGGGGGCAGGTGGGAGAGAGACACATTTCTTGTAACAAATATTCATAGTCAAGCAAAACGAATTCCTTCAATGTCTGTATTTTAAAGTATATGTGTCATTCTGCACCCTTAAATCCATCACATCTGTATAATAAATAGGTAAGATGTTTCATCACTGGTTCTCTGGAATTATGAGTGGTCCTTATATTGATCATAGGTCTTACAGCTTTCAAGGTTGTTTGTTTTACAGTGTTCTTATTGTAAAAATTATTCTGCTGGTTCTTTTCATTTCATTCTTTATCCATTTGTAAACAGTCATCAAAATTACTCATTTTATACTATTGATGTTACAGTATAAATTGTTCTTTTGGTTCTTCCTATTTCATTCTCCATTAATTCATGTAAATCTTTCTATGTCTTTTCAGAATCATCCATTTCCTTATTTCTTACAGCACAATAGTTAGTACCTACCCCATTACCTTCAAAAACCACAACTTATTCAACGATTTCTTAGTTGATAGACATCCCTTTAATTTCTTTCTTTTTTGCCACTGCAAAAAAAAAGTTGCTCTCCCTCTCCTCTCCCCACTGTGCTCGTGTTCTCTCTCTCTCTCTCTCCATATATAGATAGATAGATAGATAGATATAGTATACATATGTATATATGTATGTATATGTATATAGATATATACACACATACATACACCTTTTTTTTTTACACAAAAGACCTTTTCCTCTTTCTTTGATCTCTTTTGGGTAAAGGCTTAGCAGTGGTAAAGTTAAGTACTGACAGACCAGCAATAAGGTTAAAAATAAATAAAACCTACTCACTAAGGGCAAAAAAACAAACATCTCAGTGTAAAGGGCAAAAAAGCTTCTGTTCAAGCTGACAGTTGATTTTTTTAAATTTTTTTTTTTAAGATTGTAGAAGAAAAAGACCTTAACCTCTCTCCTCCTCCCCTTTAAGGAAGAGGCTTCAACGAGATCTCTCCCAATAGAGGACAGGATCCTCAGATTTAACTAAGATTAAAGGAAAGACTTCTCCTTTCTCCCTCTTATCATCAAAAGGATAGATATAACTAAAGTTAATCATGGTGCCAGTGGTGAATGACAAGACATAAAGAAAGACCACTGGATTAAAGGAAAGGTCCTCAATTTGTGTCAAAACTCCGTAACTAGGAGGTAACTAGGTGGCACAGTGGATAGAGCACTGGCCCTGGAGTCAGGGGGACCTGAGTTCAAATCTGACCTCAGACACATAACACTTACTAGCTGTATGACAGTGGGCAAGTCACTTAACCCCAATTGCCTCGCCAGAAAAAAAAAAAACAAAAAAACTCCATAACTGACTTTGACTCTTCTCTCCTTTTCACCCACCACATCTAGATAATTTCTATATCCAGACCCTTCCACACTGTCATCCTGACTTCATCAATAGCTTTCTAAGTAGCCTTCTGCTTCTAGTCAGTCTTTTTGCTCTCCAATTCATCCTTCATATCGCTATCAAAATAATCTTCATTATTCTGGCCTAATCATGTCTGACTCCTATTAATTGGTTCCCTTTTGATTGTGGGATAAAATATAAACTTCTTAGCCTGCCATTTTAATTATAGAATGGAAGTTCCTTGAGGTCATGGACTATTTTTGTCTTTGTAGATCCAATGCCTAGATTTTGTGACTTCAGTATTGCTAAGCACTGATGATGGTTATTGGGATTAAATGTTAAAATTTAAGATTCTCCATAATTTGTTACCAAGTTACCTTTCTAGTCTTATTTTATATTACTCCCTTTCAGGCACTCTATTCCAGCCAAACTGGACACTTACTTTTCCTTCTCACCACTGTGCATTCATGCAAATCAACCCTCGTCTGCAAAATGTATTCTTTTTTCATCTCTACCTGTTGAAATGCTTTTCTTCCATTAAATCACAATTTAGTTCTACTTCTTCCATGAATCCTTCCCTGATCCTCTAGCTAAAAGTGATCTCTCTCTTCAGATTTTCCTAGAACACTTTGGCTTTCTCCTTTGTTCCTGTCACATTTTACTCTGTATAGTATTTCTACATGGCATCTTTCCTCTTTTAGACAGTAAGCTCCTTAAGAATAGAAGTGATATCCTTTTTAGTTGTTGTATCTTCAGTGCTTAGGACAATGCTTTGCACGTAGTAGATAATTCATAAATGTTTGTTGATTTAAATAAGAAAGACTATGATAGAAAAATTCAAAGGGCTTGCTATCTTTTGTATGTAACTTCACATAGTGAGTGGGTTAGATGATATAACCACATGAATGTTTTCAATTAAAATACTAGTAAAGTACCAACTATATTCAGAGCACTGTGCTTGGCATTAAGGGAGATCATGGTCCCTATTCTCATGGAGCTTTTAGGAGGATATGTGTCATATGCAGAGAATTAATGGACGTACTCTCCCAAAATAATGCATGATAAGTGGGTTAGAGAGTTGTAAAACCAGCATTTTGTCAAGAGTCCATCCTTAAAAAATGTCAGAAAATATGGTAGTGCCAGATTATCTAGTGTCTTGAATACCATGTTTTGCCATTAATTATCATTTAAGAGATTATGAATAGTATTTCCTTTTACATTGAAATTGCTGTATAAAAGATGCCCTTTACTATACCAGGTACCATTAATATATCTAGATAAATGGCAGGCATTCAAATGGGAAATGTTTGGTACACCTACCATATATATAAGTGCTTTGATAGCTGCTCAGATATGCTTTAATTAATAGAAGATGAATGTTATTGCAGAGAGAACAAAAAGTGTGTTCTTGGTTTTTTTTCTTAACAAAAGTCCTAATGTAAGGGGTGAAATTCTTTTTTGCTTACTATGCATCTTAGGCACTGGGCACTGACTGATTCTGGGGAGATGTGGGGTTCAGGTTTAAACTGGAACAAGACTGGAGAATCCACTCTTGTTCAGAGTCTCGCCAGAAATTTTGGTTGTGATCCTCTAGCCCTAATCATCTAGAGGCCTCCCCAGAACATAGAGGTTGGTCCTTGAACCCTTTTCAAGGATGTTCAATTCAGTGAGGATCCCAGATTGAACTGGGCAGGAACTCTTAGATATTTGCTGAGTGTTATGAGTCTCAGTTATACACTTGAAATCATTTGGTAATTACTGGTCTCTTATCAGTGTTTTGGAGTTCTTAGAATGCTATAGTATTGTTATAGTGAAATAATAGTAGGAAAAGAATGTCCCTTAACATATATCTTCATGTGTTTTAATATTTACAGCTTCTTCAAAATCTCACTTACTGTGAAAAGATGACAGTGTTGTTTGTCTACAATGGCCCTTGCATGCTAGAGTCAAAGAAATACAATTTAAAGGCTTTCCTTAGGAGACGACGACGTATTGGAGTTAGCCAAATGGATCAGTGATGAAAGAAAAAGGGTCTTTGGAATTTTGCCTTAAAACTATGTTTATAATTACAGAGCTGTTGAGTAAAAATGAAGAAGTCTGCTGAAACTACAAAGAACTAGATTTATTTTTGGAAGCCTGCTTTGAAATATAAGCAGGGTGATAAGGTTGAAACCATGTAGTTAATAATTCTTCATGCTCCTTTGGAAAACTTGCTAGTAGTTGGAGTTACCCTATTTTAGCCTTTGTCGATTTGGGTTAGTATCCTGGTGTTTGTTCATTGGAGTTCTATGTAAAACTTTTAGTGTGGAATCAAACTGTCAGGTAATATGTGAAAGTACAGGTTACAGAGTTAGGTGGTTCGTGTTCACATGGCTATTGACAACAGAGTAACCGTAAGTTGAATGTAGAGAGACCTGAGTAATTTTTAAAACCTAAAGATGGTTCTATAAGCTTAGGTCATGATATTCTTCTAAGGTCCTTATATTTAACTGATAAAAATGGTTTGAGTATTTCTAGTTCAACGTGTTTGTCAGTGCTCGTTTCTACTATGAGGTATACCTTTGTTCTTTTGGAAAATTTAGAAAAAATTTTACGAAATTTGAAGTTTTTGTCCTATTTGTATTTCATACTCCTCCCCCCTTGCCCCCCCCAATTAAGCATATAGATTTAAAAAGTGGTAATAGGACTTCTTTGAAGTGCCACAAGGTAGACCTTGGAAGTAGCACAAATAAAACCAGGAAACTTCCAAAGAAGAAAGTCAGATGTCAAGGTTAGTGGGGGAGTGGGGGGGGGGGATAATAATACCATAAGATTTTTGTATTAAAAGTAAATTTTATTTTCCATTTTAAATCTTCAGGAATTTCATAATTTGGGAGGACTTGGTATAGGATTCATATGTGCCGGGATTTATTTATATCTAAGATTCTTAAATATTTTACATAGAGGAAAAGTGCATTCACTTATGAAGAACATAAAGAGTTCTTAAACTTCATATTTATTGCACTTCTGTAATTATATTGATCTTCTCTATTGTCTCAAAACTGATGAAAATTCCTTTTTTTATCAGTGAAAAACCTGTTAAATAATTTTTTAATTGAAGATATCCTCCTCAGCAGTGCAAAGCAAATTCTGTACCTTTTTGAAATATATATTTTGGAAACAAAGGCTTGCTCTAAGAACACATCCATTTGCTTAAATGGACGAATTGTCCATTTGTTTAAATGTGTATTATTGATTATAATGTCCACTCATTTGTCTGCTCACACAAAATGAGGAATTGAACTCAGTGCAATTTATGTATGTATATATTTTAAATAGCTTTCAGAATTGATATTTTTCTTAGGTCAAGAAATAATGGTGTTGTAGCTTATACTCTTTCAGCCTAGAGATTCTCTCAGTGAGAAAAAGTCAGATTGCATTTTGCTATATAAAAAATTTTAAAAGAAAATCTTTGCTTATTAAGTCTAATGAATGAAATATGTAAATAATATTTCTAGTTGTGAGTTTATCAAATCGCTTTAATATTTTGTTCCTTATGGAGATTCAGAAACTTAGTAATATTTTGTTTTTATTCTTAAATATTTTAATTTTTACCAGTTAAATGTATGTTATTTATATGGTATAGATTTAATTTTTTATTCTAGGTTCAGTTATATTACTTTTTAGCAGGATAAAGATTTATGGAAACAAGCTCAAAGATGGCATATATAGTTAAAAATAAGATGGTTAATGACATTTCAATTTCTGTATAATAATCATTTCTTTATAAGCATTCAGATTTTTGTACTGAAAAAAAGTGAATGTGTAGTTCCCTTTGAAATACTGACTACAAAGATAAATTATGTAGCATTATAATACAAAAAGTAAAAGAAATGCAAAGAATGAAACACCCACCAAGGTCAATGTATTCTCAACCACTTGTAATTTCAGCTATCACTTTGAAAAGAGAAAAGGTGAATTCTGTTTGTACACAATTCATAAAAACATCAAGTGAGAGCAAGATTTGATTTAAGTAATGTGATATTCAAAACTTTTAATGGCATTGGTGTTAAAGGGTAAAGATTTTTAGTAATTCAAAGTAAAAGGAAAATATTTTGCTATTTTCTAATTGATTTTAATATTTAATTTTTCTTTTGTATATTTCCTTCAAGATTATGCCATTTTCATAAGTCCATCCTTCTGATATATTTTTATCCAAAAATGTGAGTAAATAAAGAAACAATGAACAAAAGCCTTATCTTACAGGAATTGATGGGGGACGAGGAGGGATGAGGCTGGGGAGAGAGGACAACCTTCCACTGTGTTGTTGGGAAATTTGGAAATAAATCTATATTTTCATATACTTTTGGTGAAAATTATTTTAAATTGAAAAAAATGTCATACTTTTGACATACTAACAAATCGTATTTGGGGTTCAGATTCAGTTAAAAACAATTCTTAGGCCTTACTATTTACACAAAGTGCCTGGGCTCTATATGGGATTACATTAGAATAGGAAGTGAGGTCCAGATTTATCTTCAAGAATTGTACAGTCTATCTGGGAAAACAAAGTATTTACCTAAGAGAGATTTCCCCTTCAGAGCAACAAATGCTTAGTGTACCAAAAGTAATAGAAGTGTATGAATTAAAGCCAAATGTTTAGAAAAAAGCTATAAGATTTACAATTTTGTTCTTGTTCAATAATTTCAGGCATGTTCGACTCTTCGTGATCCCAATTGGGGTTTTCTTGGCAAAGACACTGGAATGGTTTGCCATTTTCTTCTCCAGCTCATTTTACAGATGAGAAAACTGAGGTATATAGGGTTAAGCAACTTACCCAGGATCACACAGCTAGTAAGTGTTTGAGGCCAGATTTGAACTCAGGTCTTCCTGAATCCAGGCCTAATGCTCTTTCCACTACACCACCTAGCTGTCCCATCTTTAATTCTTAGCCTAACTGCATTTTTAATAATTTAAAGATTAAAAAAAAGTTTACAGTGTATATGAAACATTTTTCTATCAAGATGTCCAAGTACTCATTTCTGTGTAAATATGTATGACTTAGTCAAAAGGTAGTGAGTAGATTTTCATTTTTTGCTGTACAATAAAGTTAGTAGCATTTGTTGTTGAGAAGATAAGAGATATTTGGTCTTGAACCAGTTGACACTAACCTTCAAACATTCTTTTTTAAAAGATTTTAAGATCTTGATATATATACATAAAGACCTGGAAATTAATAATACTGTTTCAATAGGTCATATAAGGAAATAGGTCAATTTTTTTATAGTCCCACGTTGTATTCTGTCACTTTCTAATTATAGTATATGTGAAATCTGGAGATGAACTCATGTCCCCCACTAAGTTTTCTGTATTGTGGGCATGTAGTTGTCATTGACATGATAGGTTACCTGGCTGTCCAAGAGTAGGTTCTTCGTAAGGGGAGGTGTCTGTGTGTCTGTGTGTGTTGGCACCAGAGTGGCTAACTCTGGAGGGAAAAACAGCTATTCACGCAACTCTAAGGGCACTTGAAGCTGAGAAATGCATTCTCAGGTATTTCCCTGAGCCCTGCCTAAAAATAGTCTGGTCTTGCTCTTCTATAGCATTGGTTCCATCTGAGCCTCTGCAGTAAGGAGAGGTTAGCTATTTTTAGGCAGGCCTCAGAGAAACACCTGAAAGGTACTCTGATTCAGCAAATGCCACAGCTGTGCCTGTCTGACCTCCCTGAAGCTAATGTACTTACTTGAAATCTTATCAAACCATTTTTCTAGCTTTATGTTGGGGTTGTGTGCTGATGCCACTCTAGCTCATCCTTCAGATAAGAAACAGTTCATAAGGAAAATGTAAGGGAGGATTTGTCAGGAAGGTGAATTGCTGCTGAGTTTTGGTACCATTTTTAAGAACTCCATTCTGGTTTTTTAATCTGATATTTAGCTATCAATTCATCTTTAGGCACATTTAAAACTAACAGAATCAGTAGAATGACAGTCACTGTTATTTTCTTTATCTTGTTCAAAAATTACTTAGTTGAAATAATCATTTAAAATATGAGCCTTTGCAGACATGAGGATGCTTCAGAAATTCTTCCCACAATCCTGTATCTCAAATCTGTAGATTTACCGCATCTTAGATGATAGGTGCTACTGATGGCCTTAGACCTGGCAGCTATGTGGAGAATAGAATGGAAAGAGAAGATGCTAAAAGTAAAAAGACTAGTTAAGTCCAGGCAGAGGCTTGAACAAAAGAGGTCTCTGTGGGAGACTGGTTGTTAGGGAGGTAGAATTAAACACTTGGCAACTATTTAGAAGTGGAATGTGAGGGAGAAGGAAGAGTCCTGAGGTTACAAAACTGGGTGATTTGTAGGATGGCAGTTTACTCAAGATACACAGAAATTTGGAGGCATTAGGGTTGGAGAGTGAGAAAGTGCAGATGATCAACTCTGTTATGAATATGTTGAGTTTGAGATGCTAATAGAACATCTATGTAGAAATGTGGATGATGTGGAAACATGTATATTTGGTAGTCATCTGCATAGAAAACTGAACCCTTGCAACTGAAGAGTTGCCATGGGAGAAAACAGAGGACCTAGTTCACAGTCTTAAAGGACAAGTACACAGTGGACAGAAATGATGAGCTAGCAAAGGAGACAGAAATGAATAGGCAGGAAGAGAGCATTTCCACAGATAAGAAGGATAAGAGTATCCAAGAGGAGGGGGTAGTCAGCAGTCAAAAGCTTTAGAGATAAGGAGCATGAAGACAGAGAAGGCCAATGAGACTTAGCAATCCAGGAACATTAGTAATGAAGAGAACAGGAAACAAGTGGGTACAGAGTTTAGGCTATTTCTTTTCATGTCTGCATATACTTATGTAGATGTACATAAATTTGGAAAAGAAAGGAAGAGATAAAAGATGATTGATTAGGAATATTTTAGGGGTCTAATGGAGGTTTCTCAAGAATGGAGGAGATGAGCATATATGTAGATCAGCAGAGAAGGATACAAGAAGGAGATCAAGGAGGAGCAGAAGACTAATAGGGCAGCTTCTTCAAGGTTATGGGAAGAAATGGATTGAAAGCACAAGCAGATGTTTCTTGGCAAGGAGGAACACCACTCCACAAATAATAGAGGTCCTATGCCTCAATAGAACATAAGTTGTTTGAAGTCAGTGACTGATTTTTGTCGTCTCTCCCATACCTTGCATATAATAGGTACATAATGTTTGTTGAATTGAGAGGACTAGTTTGGTGATTTCCTATCCTACCTTTAGGCAGAGTATAACCTGACCTCCCTTCCAAAAGATGGTTGACTGTCCTGGAAAAGATCTATTTGTGGCCTGTTACAATGTTCTTGATTTTTTAAAAAATATCTTAGAGACAGGTAGGTGGCGCAGTGGATAGAGCACCGGCCCTGAAGTCAGGAGGATGTGAGTTCAAATGTGGCCTCAGACCAAACACTTGACACTTACTAGCTGTGTGACCCTGGGCAAGTCACTTAACCCCAATTGCCTAAAAATAAAAAAATAATTTATTAAAAAAAAATATTATCTTAACCCAGTCTTGCAGTTTAAGTTCATTTCCTCCCATTCTTTCAGCAGTGAAGGTGTCAAAACCTGGTCAGCATCATTGATGTCAAGGTGAGAAATGGTCAATGAAAATAGTGTAACTGCATAGGCCATTCATAAATAACTTTGGCTTTTTGAGTTAAGGAATACTTCAGATTAACTTAAAAGTGTAATGTTCTATAGGGCCAATGCCTTTTTATTAGATAGTATGTGTTCTGAAAATCAACAAAATATGGTTTGGAGAACAAATAAAATCCAGACCT